AAATCTCCTGGAACGTCGATTTTGTTTTTAAAAAAGGCACTTTTTGACATACGACCCATATTTGTGACGTCATCGTTGTACGAGATATGACGTCATCGACAATTTTTTTAAATTTTGACCATGCCATTTGAAAGAGCGTGTCATTCTACATACACAGATCATGAAAAATTATGGTGTGACATAACAAAAATTTCAAGAAAATAATGTTTGAAGATTTTAAAATTTAATTTTCACAATACTGAAAATAATAATGATTATGTAAAAATCGACTAAATTAAATGTTCAAATTGTGCACCGTTGGCTGCCTGACAGTAGCCAAGACGATTAATAAATTCTTTTTGGACATTATCAATAACTTCATGAGGTATACGATGTATCTCGTGACGAATTCTTGCTTTTAAATCTTCTAAATTAACCGGTCTAGTAACGTATACTTAGCTTTTTAAATATCCCCACAAGAAATAATCTAGGGGTGTCAAATCAGGCGATCTGGCTGGCCACTCAATCGGCCCCCTTCTCCCTATCCAACGATTCGGGAACAGCTCATCTAAATAAGCACGGACAGGTGTTGCATAATGAGGAGGTGCACCATTTAGTCGATTTTTACATAATCATTATCATTTTCAGTATTATGAAAATTAAATTTTAAAATCTTCAAACATTATTTTCTTGAAATTTTTATTTCATGATCTGTGTATGTAGAATGACACGCTCTTTCAAATGGCATGGTCAAAATTGGGGGTTGCTATTTAAAAAAATTGTAGATGACGTCATATCTCAAACAACGATGACGTCATATCTCGAACAACGATGGCGTCACAAATATGGGTCGTATGTCAAAAAGTGCCTTTTTTAAAAACAAAATCGACGTGGCAGGGGATTTTTTCGAAAACTTCTCAATTTAAAAAATAATGAATTTATTCGTTACTTTTCGAAAGCACTGTATAAGGATAACGTTTTAATTGTCAGTGTTGCGAGAAACAACTACTCCGAGGGCTGTATGCCCCTACCGGCATTGAATTAACATATACTCGCAACACCTAGTGCAACAGCTAGGGTCGTTCGTCGGTTTAACCCACGAGGCACAGACCGGTTTCGGACTTATTAGTCCTCATCAGTGTGTGAGACAACCGACGAACGAACCAGCTGTATTTCCTAGTCGTGACGATACGACGCAAAACTTTAGCCAGTGCCAGCAAAATTGGAATTTTTTTTAAAAGCGTTATCGTTATATTTATTATAAATAGTTGGTATATTTTATTAATTATTATAGCTAATTAGTTTTTCATTTTAATTATTATTATAATAAAATAAAAATAATATAGATTCAAAATGTTTTTAGACAAAATTATTTTATTAAAAATATTGAATTTAATAGTTAAAATATTATTCTTATATATACCGATTTTCCTGATATAAGTTATAAAACAAAACAAAAAAACAAAATTTAAACACTGTATCTCGGAAACGAAGCATATTTCGACCGACGTTTATACGAACTTTTTTTCACAAAATAACTTCGACAACCGCCCCCTAAAATTTTTCGCACTTATTTACAAACACCCTGTATACTTGATTTGATAGTTTGCACGTTATGGTGGTTTGTGTATTCCACACTGGATGAAGTCAAGATTAACATGAAACTAACGCATATGTATGCTTTCCCACTATTAAATTTACTCGGATTTAAACAGATATTTATATATTTTATTATGAAACAATTGCTATACTGTAAAAGATGTTTTGTAATAATAACTGTATTGTATAATTTCTGTATAATTGCTATACTGTAAAAGATGTTTTGTAATTGTAGTAATAAACCCATCGCGTTTCGGATAAAGGACATTTTTTTAAATAAGTTTTTCTTATCAAAAGATAATATTATCATCCAAGTCCTAATTTGACCTACTTATATGTAGTTCTTTTTGTACAAAATTCTGAAACGTAAAGTAGAGAAAGAATAATCCAATTTATATGACTTAAGCTAAGGGAAAAAATATTGAACGAAGTTAAAACAACGAAGTTAAAACTGACAGTGGAGTAGAGATAGNAAAATAATATAGATTCAAAATGTTTTTAGACAAAATTATTTTATTAAAAATATTGAATTTAATAGTTAAAATATTATTCTTATATATACCGATTTTCCTGATATAAGTTATAAAACAAAACAAAAAAACAAAATTTAAACACTGTATCTCGAAAACGAAGCATATTTCGACCGACGTTTATACGAACTTTTTTCACAAAATAACTTCGACAACCACCCCCTAAAATATTTCGCATTTATTTACAAACACCCTGTATACTTGATTTGATAGTTTGCAAGTTATGGTGGTTTGTGTATTCCACACTGGATGAAGTCAAGATTAACATGAAACTAACGCATAATGTATGCTTTCCCACTATTAAATTTACTCGAATTTAAACAGATATTTATATATTTTATTATGAAACAATTGCTATACTGTAAAAGATGTTTTGTAATAATAACTGTATTGTATAATTTCTGTATAATTGCTATACTGTAAAAGATGTTTTGTAATTGTAGTAATAAACCCATCGCGTTTCGGATAAAGGACATTTTTTTAAATAAGTTTTTCTTATCAAAAGATAATATTATCATCCAAGTCCTAATTTGACCTACTTATATGTAGTTCTTTTTGTACAAAATTCTGAAACGTAAAGTAGAGAAAGAATAATCCAATTTATATGACTTAAGCTAAGGGAAAAAATATTGAACGAAGTTAAAACAACGAAGTTAAAACTGACAGTGGAGTAGAGATAGGGCATTCATTATAAATAAAAAAACCTGTTTTTTCTAGAACATAAAGAAAGCACAAATAAAGCCACCTTTCATAATAAAATATTTGGAAACGCAATTAAAGAAATAGGTATTTATTAAATTTAATAGGGGAAAACGCACTGGTTTCAAGGGAATATTAGTCTATTGAATACAGGGTATCCCGAAATTCATGCAACAAAATTTGGTAATAAATTCTTAAGACAAATTTAGGGGACCCGTATTTTTTCTTTTTGCCAACTGACCCCCTCTTTCGGAGTTACAGCCCCCTGAAATCTGTCATATATCAGTCAATTTTCATCTATAAATACTCTACAACCTCTTGTTTTGAAGGAAATTTTATTTACTTTTTTATGAAGCAATGCCTATACCTATCTTTACTCAAAAAAAAAAAAAAAA